TTATAAAATTATAAAACTTTCTATATTTCCATTTGAAATTCAAATTTACCTGGGTACCTTGTATTTTCATTTGCTAAATTTGGCACAGTGGAGAGAACAAGTACACGACAACTTCATGAAGCCACAGACCACACAGTACCTAAAGCCCACACTACCTCTGAGCTGCTGGTTATGTGAGGTAATCAATTCCTTTACTGTCCCAGCAGTTCAGAATTTCTGTCGCTTGCACCCCAAAGCATCCTGTCTCGTGCAGCAAGTCAGTGGCTGCAACATAGGCAGGGAGTCTGCAGAGCCCAAGCTTCCCCACCATACTAAATCTCAGAAGGACAGAAACTAAATGTCACATTAAAAGCTACAAAGCCAATGCATAGGACATTGAACTTGTATTTTTAGAGCTATAAGAATGCAGCTTGACAGACTTACTGGAATTCATCAGATTCTCCTCAGTCAATGTAAATTTTTTATTATGAAGTTACGGAACGTGAATTCACTTAAAACTGTAAAATGCCTTCATGAATACTAACAAACTCTAAAATGGCAGCAAAGGTGGCCGCTTAGAACCACCAAAACCATGAAATCAGAAACACCTAGCAATTCGAGATGAAGAATTCCAATTTTTAACATTAATGATAAATTTCTATGTAATTTTGTTTAGGAAAAAAAATCAACCGGTTCCCAGAAAAATTTGACTTTAGACCAAACCTGGAGCCTTGTAAAATAATCACTTAAAACAGGAAGGGAGTGTGTGAGTGAGTACACCAAGTGACCGAATGGGTAACCAGAGGACCGAGCTCCTTTTAAGGGTAAAAGCCTTGTGCATATGTGTGCATGTGTGTGCATGTGTGCATGTGTGTGCATGTGTGCTTGTGCACAGGCATCTGTGCGCATGCGTGTGTGTTGGGCATCTTGTTCACCAGCATCAAAAATCTCAAGGTAATGACCCCAAGGAATTTACATGTGGCGCCAGGGGCGTCATGAATGAACAGAAGCAGGATGCTGGGGTAGCCACTGCAGCTGTGGAGACCGTAGAATTCCTGTGTCCTTATGCATCCACCAGGTCTGAAGACCTGCTTGGGGCAGAGGCTTTCTCATAACACAAAAAACACAAAACACATGGCATCAACACCACCCTCATGTGGGCTCCCTTTAAGCCCACAAAAAGCTGTATTGGGGCATGTCGGTATAGAAGAAATGTGAAGTTAAGGAAAATTCTAGCGAAGATATCTTTGGGAAAAGCGTGCATGCTCTCTCTCTCCGTATATATACACACACATCTATATTAGAGAGAGACGAATGCCAGTAAGTCTGTCAATGTTTATATTACTCTATAAATTTAACAAAACCCCAGTCAAAATACCAATAGGATTTGTGGGAG